CTGCAGACTCTCCCTGCTTAAGCACAGCCCCGCTGGCGTTCTCAAGGGAAGGTGCCCGCGCTAGGCCGTGTAACTGGGGTTCTCAAAGGCATCCGGAGGCCAAAGCAGCTTATTTTAAGGAGGAAATACAAAAAGCAGACATCTGCCCTCCCATCTCCTCAGGGAAGGTGGAACCTACGGGGCATCATCCAGGACAGTCCCGCCACCATCACAATCTACATCACCAGAGTGAGGCACGTAATTCCCCCCTGAAGAGACCCAAAGATGCTGAACCAACAAAAATTTGTATTTTTCATTCAAACGCTTTTAGGCATCTTCAAAAATACTGCTCCAGAACAAGTTACGCCCAGAAGCGTCCCAGCAAAGAGCAGCCCTGCGATCGCAAGCAGGCTCCCGCGGGACTGCCCAGCCTCAAGAGCGCACGCATTGCAGAACTCCGCTCAACTACGATTTCCTTCCAGCATCAGCCTGGCACCAGCCCAGCACTGCCAGTACTAAAATTCTAAGATGCAGGTGCCACACAGTCACTCAGATGTTTAACCAGCTGTGCCGCTCATCTCTGTTGAGATCAGTCCGGCCAATTGGGTGGAAGAAAGGAACGGCAGTTTAGTAGAACTACTACTTTGTCACGGGGTGGACCAAGCTTCTGTACTGTCTATAAAACAATGTGCCTCGTTCACACTGTACGTCAACTAGTGACAATAAATAGCATTTAATCAAATAGTAATTTCACACATCAGTAATGAAACACTTAACTGAGGGCCTAGGATCTGTACGATTAAGCTCTGCTTGAACTTTGGTCCTTTTTATATATAAATGGAGTTGGAACATAAATAAAGCTTTAGCGCCTTACTTAAAGTACACCTCTAAAGCTTGCATACTATAGCATCCCACCGATACATAAAGCCCAAAGCATCAGCTAAAAAGGAAAGAGGAAAGCTTACAGAATCTTTTCCAGGTCGTTTTTTAGTAGGAGATTTATGTTTAGATTCAGATCTTTGTCTAGCTCTATCCTTTTCGCTCTCTCTCTCTCTTTCTTTTTTGTCTTTTTCTCGTTCAATATCTGATTCTGGTGAATCCTGTGTAAATAAAGGGGGAAATATTAATATTAAATATATTAAATACTAGTTTATAGAATAACTACACCTCTGAAGACTCTGACTTCATTTCAATGTAGACCATATTAGGAAAAACTGCTTAAAGTGGTTACTAATCAAGCATATCCTATCAACCACTGCAGAAACAAGTAATGAAAACCATTACTGAAGTGATTTGAAAAGAAAAGGAGAGCTGTGTTCGATGCAGAAGAACTTTCACCACTCTCAGTGCCTGTGAAGAGGAGGCAGGCTGGATGCCATACATTAAATCTCTTCTGTGCACAGATGTCATTCATTCCGTAAGATCTCTGGAAAGGGTGAAGTCTGGTAAACCTTTCTCTGTTACACAGCTGCTTGGCCAGGCTCGATTGCCTTAAAGCTGCTGTGCTTTTTCTGGATATTAACCCTAGGGTGAGGGATTAGGTGGCACGACTGTTTTTACTCCACGCTTCACCCCCGTGTTGGTAAGCTTGCGTGACCCTGTTCATGTTGCAACCCTTCAGCACTAGTATCTTACTCAACGGCCAACAATTAACAGCCCCCCTCCTTGTGAACACTGTCCACTGAAGGGCACAGCTGACTGCGCAGAAATGACCAAAACAGAAGAATACAGCAGCTTTGAAGAGTTTTGCAGCCAACCTGAGTTCAGAGACCCAAGCTTCTTTCTTTACCTAGGATGAAAAATATTCTTTGGCCTCAACCGATACAGAGTGAAAGCTCTCTTCTGCTCTTCAGATCCTTTTGACGCTCCAGTACATTTAACACCAGAGCTTCTAACACAACCCCGGCACTCAAGCACACAAAAGGATTGCTTCTCAGCATGAGGCAAAAGGCAAAGGTGGCTGGGATTCTTCCCAGTTCTCCACAGGGAAAGCAAACGCCAAGATTTGCTGTGATAAACAGCAAACACCAGGCTACTAGTACAGTCCTTTACATCCGCTTGCATGGCTGCAGTTAAACCTCCCAAATTTAGCAGCCTTAAATGGTTTAAAATTAAGGTGTGTATTACAGAAGGTTATTATGTTGCCAATACCCTCCTGCACAGTCCCCGTAACAAAGGCAGCTGAATGATTACAGATACCTAGAGAGGATGACTGAAACCGTAAGGTGCCAAGTTGGTCATTAGCCAACTCAAAAAAGTAAACTGCACTTACAGACTTATGTCTTCTCTTCTTGCTCTTTTTCTTGTGTTTTTTTGACTTTTTGTAACTTCTCTCTGCAGACATAGCAAGAAACAAAAATACATCAATAAAATTATGAAGAGCCAGCAATAAAACAGTAATGCTCATTTAAAAACAAACGAGAAAAATCTCATACCAGATTCTGCACTGGAAGAACGCTCAGAAACTGATCTGGATTCTGAACGCTGCCTTTTCTTTTTTGAATGGCTGTCATCATCCTCAGACTCTGAGCCCTTGGGATGCAAAACCAAGGTGATTAGGAAGATGACAGCATTACAAATAGTTACAGAAGTGGATTTTAAGGTATCATGAAACACCTTACCGAACGGGAACGTGATCGCTTCCTGTGATGTTTTTTGGACTTTTTAGAATGTTTCTTGTTCTTTGAATGATGATGCTGACACTCGTGCTAGAGTACAAGAGAAAGCAAATGTTACAATCTGTCTGTAGGACACAGCAAGAAACTGTAATGACATTTCTCATCATCCACAAAGGCATCTATGGCTAGCAGCGGTTAAAAAGAACAATCACGCATTTATTGTGTCAAAACCCATAAACAGCTACCAATATTGCCATGTTAAAGTTGTAATAACAAGCATCTAGGAGCAAAGAAACATACAGCTGTAGGCATAGGTGCACACAGCTTCTATTACCTGGATCCCTGTTTCAATCCTTCCACTTTAAAGCCGCTGCTCAAGATGGCCTAGAATATACTGCATACCCTGCTTTGCCAAATTTGAAATTAAGCCATTTTAAAAACTCAAACAAACTCCGGAAAATGAAACAAAAAACTCAAAGAGCATGTGCTGCAAAATCAAATCTCACATTACCTAGGAAAAACCAGCACCTTATTCAACAAGAATGACTTATCAAAACTTCTGCAGCTTAATTCTTACTGCAGCCCATCCAAAAGTTACGAATGAAACTAAACTACATCATCCCTTTTGCACATCAGCAAAAAATAGGCTACAGTGGAAAAAAAATAAAGGCACATCTGCAGAGCTTAGTATGTTCTTGAAGTTCCAGATTTGTAGCGAATAAAATAGTGCAGAAGTTCTATTTCCAATTTCATCACATTTTGTATGAAATCACAGCAATAAACAATTTTTCTAAAATAGATCAGGAAATTTTGATGTTAACTTCTGAAAATTCTTCTAGGGAAGCAGATTAAAAGAACAACTGCATATCAAATAATGTCAAATAACTGTAACACATTTCTTCAAGTTCCTTACTTTCAAGATGAGGTTTTAATATCTATTACTTTTAGGTAATGCACAATGTCCACTGTAACAGAAATAAGTAGAATTCTGTTAAATCCCTCTCCCTTCCCACTCAATTTAAGAGCCAATCAACTAAGAATTTTTTTGTATATTCTCTAATCAGGAAAAAATAAAGTCATAATTACCTCTAGTACATGCATGAAATCCTTAAATATTCTCTTTCTTTCTGACTCCAGAGTGATGTCTTCAAATGCTGGTTCCTTCACAAATCTATCTCTGATCTGTAAGAAAATCAGTAATTAAATACTACTATGAAATCCAGCCATTCAGAAATAAAAATAATAATTAAAAAAAAGACACGATTTCACCAGCTGAAAAAGCCACTGAACTGTTACAAGGCTAAACTTTTTTAATGCCAGCTTCACAACCAAAAGAGTCTGCAGTAAGACCGTAACAGATGGAAGCATGCAGATTCAGACTGTTCTTTCCTGCATATGCCAACTAAGCCATGCAAGCTTGTTAAAGCATGCATTTTTATACAAATTATACTTTGAGAGGAAAGGTTTTTAAAGGTTATCTCGACCAGAACAAAAAAAGTTACAGGCTCTTAAACTAAGCAGAGTGATTTCTCTCCATTTAAATTAAGTTTGGGGGTTTTGTGCAATTATTTTTTGAGAGTGGGGGTGGTGTTTTCTGTTTGGTTGGTTGGGTTTAGGGTTTTTTTTAGTTTTGTTTTAGATTGTATTCAAACAAAAGTATCAATAGAATGAAGTTATTCACATCACATTTCAAATTTTACTGAAGAAATGACAGGGCAATGTTTATAGGTCTAAGACTATAACAGCACTAGGATGCAGCAGCCTGTTAAATGTATGTGGAAAGATTTTCATAATTAAGTGACGATACATACATCTTCCCAGACAGCATCCAATTCAATTGGAGGAGTAGCTTGCTTCAACATACTCTTGAAGGCAGACTCTTTCCGCTTCATTTTGCGAGCTTCTTCTTTTTCCCTTTCTCTTTCACGGGCTTCTGCCTTCTCTAGCAGCTACAGCAAACAAAAATCATAAGATCATTTGAAAGATATCAAAATGGAAGACTAATAATTCAGTTTAATGCAATTCCTGGAAAGCCCAAAACCAGTTCACCTTTAGAATGAATACACCTAATAGAATTTTCTATTGGTCACTTCAGCATACAGGAAAATTAACCAATTACTTATTTTTAAAGCACGCAACTACGGTTTCCCAAACAGAATCTAAAATAGAGTTAATACATCGTGCAAGCCAAAACTACAGAAACACACAAAGTCCCTCATGAGAAAAGTTACGTATAAATGAGAGAACGTTGCTTAACTCCTACCACAGAATTTCTCAGGTTGAAATGTTTATGTTTTGAATAAAGATACACCTCTGCAATCTTTATTTTGGGAACTGATACCAGGATAAGCAACGCTAAAGCCCACCATCTCTCTCAAATATTACCAGAGTAGTCATAGCAAGAGAATAAAAATAAGTGCCAATTCTTGTTTTTACAAGAGATTTCATATTGTAAGTTTTCAAATATTCCTATATATTAATACTTACACTGTTGAAAGCCAGCTTGATATTTCCCGCATCTAAAGTAGTGGCTCTTTTAGTCGAACTGATGACCGTAACAAAATCTTCAAAAGAAGTATTCACTTCAACCACAAATCCTTTATCCTGTAAGAAAATTGCTTCTTTGGCATCAAGTAAGTAAGGAACTCTCGCTTCAGTGCTAATGCACATGACACTAACCCAATGTGAAATCCCACCTCCCAGTAGCAAAGAGTTCACTTGAATGATGTATTTGGCATTAAAAGAAGAAACCACATACTGGAGCACTGTCCCCTCTCACCTTTAAGATATCTTTTATTATCTTCTTTTCATCATGGTAACGTGCTTTCAAGTCTTCAACATAGAACTTGAAAAGATCAAGTGCTGTTGATCCTGATGAAAAAACTAGATAAGTCAAAAGCTAGCTCTAATAAAAGAGCTGCATTTTTTTAGACATTTAGAAAATATACAAATAACCCTGCTCTGTTCTGCCCCAAATCCAAGACCTTTACCTTACTTTCTACAGGGTTGGAAGAGACAGTGTTCTTACCAGGTTGACCAAGCATATTCGTGAATCTGATGTCAGAGCTTATGGTTGGATACAACTCCATCCAAGAGGACATTGAATGTAATTGGCCATGCTCATGCAGTTCATCTAAAAATAGCTACAAAATACAAGTGAAATAGAAATTTGTAGTCACTCATCACACTAACACAGCTGGAATGGATACTCTTGATAACTGCAATTCCACTTTTGTCAAAGTGCCATTGAAAAAAACATTTTTACATCATCATTTCTTCCTGCCACCCTCCACCATTTACAATGTTCCAATTGCATTTCCTTTCCATTTACATCTATTTCCTCTTACTTTCCGCTACTCTTGCGTCTTTCTGGCAAACAGATGTATTATAGACAAAATGCTACAATGCTGGTAACTGATGTATTGTACGCACCTGTTAGCCTACCCTAAGAAATAAAAAACCCACATAGAATATCTAATCACATGACACATCTAGGACAGAAAAAGAAAAGTCCACCAACCTGAAAAGACTCTCTATTTTTACGCTGCCGCCTTCTTTCTCTAAGCAAACTTTTCTGTTTTTCTTCTTCCTCCTCTTTTTCCAATGCCCTGATATGTTCCTCAAAACAGATCAGTGCATCCTCCTTATCCATGTCTAGCAACAAATAACAACAGAGTGGTAAGAGTAAAAAGTAGGTATTTCTTCCCACTAACTGTAGAAAGTTTCTTACTATGAGATAACAGTTGCCAATTGCTACTGTGACTGGAAGCTTCATTGAGTGCTGAAATATATGAAGTTCAGCACAGCAGCAAAAAGCAACCTCCCCAAACCTGGATAAATTATCATTCCTTTAATGAGAAAGGTATTGTGGATGAGCACTTCTGCATCTGCCCGCATTACCACAGGTATCTCAAAAACACAGGAGAGAGGTAAGAACACAGAGCATCTTTGTCAAATGCTTTAGCAGCTGTGTAAATGCATACGCTGCTCTTAAAATACAGGATCAACTCATTTATAAGAAAAATGTGCTCATAATGGAAAAACTGCCTTCTTACTCTCAAAGAGTAAAAACAATTACTTTTCTGGGGAAGCAAACACAGCAGGACCTCAGTCAGTCTAGCAGAAGGTAGCGTTAAGTATTTGCAACACAGATCACGATGACAAATAAGACTTCAAATTTCAAAGGCTCACAACTACTCAGGCAATTCAATCCTCACAAAAAAGGTATCCTTTGCTTTATCATTAAGATTAATCAGTAACGATTTTTGAAGCTGACACCGGTTTCCTAGGAACCAAACAAGACGGAGTCCTTTACACAGCCTGCTCAGCAGCTGTGGTAGCGGCTCTGGACTGGGCAAGAGCAAGCCATGCCCAGTCAGGAGTCCTCACCACTAAAGACAAAGCCATCCCCTCTTCCAAAAGAAACGCACAGATTTTTTACATACTCTGAAGTTCCTCGTCTTCTGCAAACGTAGGATTGTCCATCAGATACTGCTGAGCCTCCGACCAAGTAGTACAGTAAGTGACATTAGCCATGTTATCTAGTATGTTCTTCAAAGCTTCCCAATTCCTCTTTCGTAACTGTTTGGCTTGTTCCTGAGGAGAAAATACATTTTTGTTGTTGTCGTCGTTAAATTTGAAGTTGTATAGACAAAAATACATGGCCCCTCAAGTTTGTCCTCTAAGAAAACACAAAATGAACCTTTCATTTACATGTAAAGAAACGGAATAGAATTTGGACCTACATACAATTTTTACACACAATTATCGCTCGCATCCACAGATAAACCATTTCAGTACTATTATTTGACTGCTCCCGATAGATGTGAAAAGCTTGTGAAACGGTGCTCATCTGTTAGAGATAGTGCCAGGAAACTGCCAGTTCATTCAGTAAACAGTCAGTGCTGCAACAAAGTACTATGGCCCACTGTGCTGTTGAAAAGCAGATCTAAACCAGATGGGCTAATTATAGGCAATTTCTTAGGCAGTGCTGTTTGGGTGGCTGCCCTCTTTCTGTTTGTTTTGCTTCTCGAGCAAGTGTGGACCTTAACACTAGTCTCACTAAAATCAATCTTAGAAACAGTCTTGCTCTACAATTTATTTCCAATTGCCTGTTTTCCATCTACCCAAGGATGGTGGTGAGTGCGCGCATTGCTACCAAACTGCAGCAAAGATGAACTGACCAGATACAGTTCAGGCCAGACCCTCAGAGCCGGTATGGTGCCACTGAGGTTAAAGGAAACATAGCTTTCTGCAACCAGCCCGTGACAGTTTCACAGTCTGACTCAGAGCAGTTCACAATAAAAGCCATCATACAATCTATCAAAATTATACTAAAAATTAAACTGATTGCAAAATCAGAGGGTAAACTGATCTGTAACCTGTATGCAGTATATGGTTCACACTAATGCTGCAACACTCTCATTTGGTTCTCCATGCCTTTCCTACAGGTTCCTCCCCTGCTGTAAGCATTTTGACTGTCCCTGAACAACTCAGAATTGCACTGCTTGCAAGATTTCTTTACTAAGAGGTATAAACTAATTTACATATAACAAGAGAAAAGGTAAGTTTGAAAGAAAGTTACTTTCTCTTTCTTAGACAGAAAAAACAAGACATCTTCATAAATTTCAAGACGATCACGCTCAGATATCGCATTCCAGACTTCCATCTCCCCAAACATTTGTTCAGCTTTTCTGTACAAAACAAAGAAAAGGCATACAATCATTTATTGGTGAACATTGACTTAAATTGTCCCATCAGCTTACAATAACATTAATGAACTCTGTTATAAGTAGTAATGCTTTTGTATGACATCTCCCTAATTTTCTCACTTGGGAAACTTTTCTGTGACACCTTTCTCTCTCTTATAAACAAAGGAAACAGTTAGAAATCAAAGCTGATGCCACTATACACTCCTCTCCACAGAAGTGGAAGTTCAGTGCATTACACTTAAGTAGTTTTATCTGAGGACCAGCACATGTTCAGGTCACTATTTAGCAAACATTATACGAAATCAGAGCTACAAAATTTTCAACAAGCTTATTAGATATACCTCCCTTTGGGCATGAACCTCCATGAACAAGCAATCAGAACTACTTTGTTCTTAATGGCGGATGTAACATAAAACTCCTCTCAGCGTTATCTTTTATTTCTACTTATTAGAAGCTCAATCCATTACCAGCAGCACATCACTCATTTGAGCTGTTTCTTGCCTGGGTCTCAAATACACTCTTATGAAAGTGAGACTATTTGCGTTCCTATAAAAATTTCAGTTACAGGCTTTTCCGGACTGACTGCATACAAAGGTTAGCATTCACCAAGAGCAAGTCAGCAAGATTTGATTATTAACTTGGAAAGCTCATAAAGGTTGGAACTTCCTTTAACATTGGTCTTACTTGTATCTTGTTGTGGATGTCATCTTTTCATGGTTTTCAAGAAAACGCTGGAAGGATTCTTTAGCTTCTTTGTATTTTGATCTTGCTTCTTCTTTCTCTTCTTTTTCTGTTTGAACTTTGTAAGCATTAAAGGCTTGCTTTTTTTCACTTAATTTTGCCAAAGCACTTCATACCAAAGAAAAAGAAAACAACAATGTCAATTATACAAAAGGGAATTAAATTAGAAAAACAAAACCAAAGAACCAAAAGATAACAGATTTGAATAATCCAGACTGAGACAAAATTTAATATAATCTAAATGGCCAATCGTCATCCTGTCTCTCCCTCAGCATTAATGGAAGATCATTTAAAAAAAGCAACAAAACCAAGCACTTACTAATAAAAGCAGTTAATAATAAACCACAAGCTACTATCATGCTTTCAGGTTGCATTTACACATTCCACATTACAAATACTATTTTAATCATAGATATCAACCACTTTTCTGCCACCGTTTATATAGCAGCCACTCATTTCAAAAAGTAACCTAGAAAGTCTTCAGCTCCGTCATTGTAAATGTGTGCTTTTATTCACAAGAAAATAAAATAAATAGGTTAAAGTACAACCAACAATTACCACATCTTTCCAAATTAAAAACTACACCTAGGACTTTCATTTCTTTACGTAGGAAAGGAATAAAGTTCCCTGACAATGGTACATGTTCACAAATGCACAGATACCTATTAAAACAATCAAAAGTTACGTCAATAAAGTCAAACTACCTAAAATAGTATTTGTGTACAAATTTAAGGAGGAAAAAAAATTAAAAATAAAAATCAAGCAGTACCTGTATCTAGGATCATTAATGATCATTTTCATAGCTTGCTCCCAAGAAGCATTCGATGGCACTCGCTGTGAAGACATTAAATCATTAACTAATTATATTTGGAACCAACACCCAACAATGACCAATTCCTTAAAAAATGTCTCTGAAACATCTAGTGAATCTGTCTGTCAAATCACTCACCATTACAGTTTGTGTTTTGGACAAAGACCAGATTACAAGTTTGCATAGTGTGGGAATCATGTAAAAGGAAGAAAATAAGAAAAAACTGAACTGAGAGCCCTAACAAAAATTGAACACCTCCCCACTCACCCAAAGTACTAAAAAAAGTTTAAACTGTCAATTGTTTCCTGTAGCGATCCTTTCCCTCATTTCTTGTCTAGTACAAAAGTCCTCTTCCACAACTGTGAGAAATTCTTCACCAAAAAAAAAAAAAAGTCTAGCAATTTCTGGCAAATGCAGTTTTTGTAGTTCAATAAAGCATTAAGAAGAGTTGACCAAAATACCTTTTCTTTTAACAGTTCTTTAAATGCTTGCTTTGCTTCTTCCTTTGTATTCCACGTATAGGTTTTTTTAACTGGTTGGGCATCATCATCCTCTTTCTTTGAAGCAGCACTATATACAAAAATCAATAATTTTATTATTTAAGCATTTATTTTTCTAAGTTAGAACCACTGAATAGTCATAATTCACCTCTCCTCAGATAGATTTTTCAATAACAACACAAAGAAAAATAATAACGCTACACATGATAAACACCACAATTTGTACAAGACTTTTCCTTAGAGATACCAGACACAACTGATCAAAAAAAGCAAACTATTTCAGAAAAGTATTATCACTTATGCAATTGGCTACCAGCTCAAGTTATCTAGAAACAATTCATAAAAATATATTGCTGAAATTTAGCAGGAATATTTTTATATATACATATTATATAAAAATATAAAGGAGAGTGCCTAAAAATATGCCTCTTGCTCTTAATTATCTCCTGCTGGCTATAATCCTCCACAGTGTTTCTTTTTGGTTTGAATGATAAAAATCACAAGCTGTAAGTCTCCACATAATCAATTCTCCATTATTAAAAACCAAAGGATCTCATTTCTGGTGGAACAGATAAAGATCTGTTTCATATTGCATTTTCTTCTAATGATAGTCAATTGCACAGATCGATGGAAGAGGAAACATACAGGGTAAGCATATAACGTTACCCCAGGAAATTCTTACAGCTATTGAAAATTTATGAAATGTTCACATCACTAACATTCTCTGTAGGGTTTAAGAGCTTTGGGAGAGGGCATTAATTTTTCTAAAAATAGATATAATACTTCTTCCTCTTTCTCACTACTATTCTCTGCTGCCATTGATTCATGCTCACGTTTCACTGAAGAAACAGCTAACTGTCAAAAAAGCCTGGCCACCTACAATTGAAGATAAACCAGATCCTAGAAGAAATACAAAACTGCAGCAAAGCCACATGCTTTGTAATTTCACTTACTCTGCCGAGGCCTCCTGATTGGAAGAGTCATCTGCTGCGTTAGCTGCAGTTTCCGCACTCTGTTCCTGCGCAGCAGTTGCAGAAGTTGCTTGTCCCTGTTCCTCAGCTGCAACTGTGCCAGTGCTGTCATTTTCTACCACAGAAGAAGCCGCAGCAGTTTCTGCTTCAGTGCCTGCCGTTGCTGCAGAAGTCGCAGTGGTGGTGGTAACAGCAGCAGTTTCAGCAGCAGTTGTGGCTGTGGTGGTTGTGCTTGTTGCTTCTGCTGCAGCAGCTGGAGCAGAAGTCGTTGGAGTTGAGTCTTCGGGCTTTGTGCTACAGGTATCAGAAAACAGGAACAGTCACAGACAAGCATGTGACAATGTACAGGTTTAGGGAAACCTGTAGTTTAAATAAGTTAATAAAGTACGAAACAAGATGTTTAGGTCTAGTTACAAAGATTGTGTCTCAGAAGGACACAAAACAACCTTAGCTCAGAGAAAGGAAATGCTTTACTGAAAACTGTGTATCTATGTAGATCAATCCTTTCAGTTAAAAAGAAACCTAGAATACATTATTTGAGTTTTTATATACTAAGCCACTATCTGGAATGAAAAGCTGCAACAAGAATGTTTTAAGGTTCAAGAGATAGATTCCATTTTTAAGAAATAGGCAGCTTAACATAAAAAACATTAGCATACCATTAATAACATACCTGTTTTCTTCAGCTTTAATCATTGCTAGAGGAGAAAGGGGAAAAAACAATCAAAACATAGCTTCAAAAATAGTTTATACACACCTGGTAAAAAGTTACTGTTAACATGATTTAATAAAAGCATAGCTTTAAATATTTTTGTTACCATCACGAATTTTAGTATCTGCGCCCTCTAAAGACTGAAATCAATTCAGATTAAAACAAAATTCAGAAATCCCACTGAAGAAAGATTACAGTATATAAAGAATGACTTCTTGGTTTAAAATAATTATTTCAACTTTAAAAGACTAGTTTAAAGAACAGAAAGCCAGGCTTATTGAAACAGATCTTTCCTCCTTTTTTATCCTAACAGTCACTAATGCTTATTCTTTGTAGTACTTCAAGCACTCGTTTCTTACCCCAGCTGATTTTATAGATTTTTCATCAAGATCTTTTTCCCCTTACAATACCAAAGAAAACCGTGCTAAAAGCAAAACACAGGAGCACAGCATCATATGATGTTTGTACAAAAGGGGACACTGCCTTTATAATACAGAAGGGTAATAAAAAATTACTAATATTTTTCTACATTATAGTTTCTCAAAAGAATTTTTGTTAAAAATAAAAAGTAAATTGATACCTAAGCAAAGCCTTACACACAATTTTGGCTCTCGGCCGGCAGCCAGTACTACTGCTTAAAGTATAAAATACATTACTGTTTTCAAAATTCTTCCAAGACACCAAAACAAAGTTTAATTCTTACTCAGTCATAAGCTATACCATATTACAGAAGTCCAGCACCCTTTTACCCTGGTTTCCCAAGCAAATGAGGATTAGTACAGCCGCCCCTTTGCCTCTCGTTTTCCCCCATCGACCCAAACCCCTTCACAAACCCTTCTAAGTTCCTACAGGTTTCCAGAGGATTGCTGGCCAAGTAAGAGTCAAATCCTACAGCAGCCCCAAAACGAGGAAAGACCTGAAGCATTACGTACGGTACTGCTAACACAGAGAGCATGCACGCAGCCCTGAACAAACCACAGCACCTCACATCCTAACCCAGTTCCTGTTTAGGGACACGAGGGGGAGCCGATGCTGCTGCCACATAAACAGGGAAGAACTGAGGGTATAACGGAAAAAGGGATGGCGATGAGGTGGTGAGGACACGGGAGACAAGACAGCTCCATAGAAATCTCAGGCCGCATTAACTCTACTACATACAGCTTACTTCAGCAGATTTAATTTCTAACAGAAGTTGGACTGTTATGCTTTGATACCAAATTTTTGGAAAAAGTCATGCATATGCACAGCCTGCAACTCACTGCCACCCCTCTACTCATTTTTGCTAACATTACCTTCAAGATCCTCAAGCTCTTTGGGTTTTGCCCAGCGTGATTCCTTTGTTTGGGAATTATAATAGTAGGGCTTTCCAGAATCAGATTTATATTCTTTCCAGGGACACTTAGACAACAATTGCTAATGAACAGAAAACAAAAACATAAAAATCAAACTTACAATGGTGTTTTAAAATTAAAAGGATAGCTAGAAGTGAGCTACAAACACTACACCAAGAAATAACCTAAGGATCAATGAATAAAAGGCATATACTTTCCAAGAAAAATCCTCCTCAGTGATAAACAAACACACTGTTTATCTAAATATTAAAGAACATCATCCTTTTAATAAGAAAAAAATTATCTAAAATCGAGGAAAACTGTCGATAGTTTTATCCATTTTGCAGCCTCAAGTTTGACCAAGATAAGGAGCACAATACAAACATTTTTGCAACATTTCTTACTTGAAGAGTTTACTCCCATGGGAAAAAAAAAAATAAAAAAATAATCTCTTGGCATAGCTATTATCCTACATGATAGTTAAGCTAGTAAATTCTTGCATTCACACAAAATCACACAGTACAGTAATCTTAATCTGAATTTAGTTTACCTCAGCAGGTGTTTTGAGATCATCCGGCTTCTCCCATGTAGACTGCTTTGTTTCAGTATTATAGTAATATGTTCTTCCATCAGGTGATTTGTGCTCTGTCCATGTAGATTTCTAGGAAAAACAGAAGATACCATTAACGATGAACAATAATTGCTGACTGAGATGCTATCAAAAGCCACTAAAAAAAGTTAAATACAAGTGCAAAGCAGATAAACCTGTTTAGAGTGCTCTTCATTAACAGAACTGCTGGTTGTGGTGGTTTGCTGGGCTGCGCAAACTACGGGATGTGTTGTCTGAGGGCGAAACAAAACAGAGCTCTGAAAAGACATTCTGGTTAATATTTGTTTTCCATTTGAATGTGTGTATTAAATATACTAAGTAATTCAGCAGCCTAGGAAAGACAGCAAGCCAAAATCTAAACACATTTAAGTCAGTATTGTTTTCAAGAAATTACTTCTTTGTCGCAACAGCTATTAAGAGTCCCTCAAACCCCCCTGCCATTCAGCAATCCAAGGCAGCCAATTACCATCAGAAAAGAAAGCAAAAGTGAATGTGATCAGACCCTAACAACTTCAAGTGAAAGTCCCAGAAGCACATCCTGTTTGCAAAACCAAGAAAATTTTGCTTCAAGAGTTTAGTGCAAACTCAGGGCTACCTTCCTACTGCTTTTCATTGACAGTTTATATAAACTCTGAAATCAAGACTGGCAGAATATAGCTTTAGCCATCTACTCTGTTTCAGTTACTGGATATGGCTGAGGACAAACAATTTCCTTACAGGTCCAACTGCCTCGCTCATTTACACAGAATACAAATCTCATAGAAAGGACAATTGATACTCACTGACATTTATGACTAAAGATAGGTACAAGGTCCCCAAATTTCAAAGCAACAACCAAAAAACTTACAATGGGGTATCTTTGAGGCCACATGACTATTTTTTACAGATTCTGCCTCTTAGTTATCTAGCCAAACTATTTTCTTCATCATCTTAAAAACTAAAGGTAAACGTCTGAGACTACTTCTCTAGAAGGTATTTAATATTTACAAAATTTTAAATAGAAATCTGATAGTGACCGAAAGTTATTCATGGTCATTCAAGGCGTCATGAAAGACAAATTTAAAATTTGAGATTACTTCCAGATGACCTGCCTACCTCCATACAATGTTACATTGATTCAAGATTCAAAAATTTCACTATCAAGATACAGAGCATCAGTTCTGTTCCATCAGCGATTTCCCATCTGATGGAAAGATGGAAAACCACTGAAAATCACCTAATGAAGTAAGTTTGGCCTGCATGCCACCATCCCATTTACAAGTTCAACCTATGTTAAACCACATTCCGCGCAACCTACACAGTATTCATTCCTATTTAAGTTACTGAATCATGTTATGCTCCCACAAACACGGAAGGAGACACTAACAAAAGCAAATTTCAAACAATGTCAAGACATTGGAGGTGGGAGGAAGAAAGTTAAGCTGAATTATGAATGAGTAGCAAAACTGATGAAGTCATAATAACCATTCTTTTGAATTTCGTACCTTATATTCTTCAAAAACCGCAGTGATGTTTTCAAAATTATTATGAGTAACCACACAGGCTATTCTCTTTTTATTGCTAAAGTGTCTGCTAACAAAACTCTCAGTAAGCTGACAATGCTAATAAAGGTTCCAATAAATTACAGGGGATTGAACAATATCAGAACCTTGTCCTGGCTTCTCCTGCTAAGTGCAGGTGTGTTAAGGAACAGCAAAGAAGACTTCATCGTTGCCTACTGAATTCTGCTATACACATTAGAACTGGCAAAGCTAGTTAACTACATTAACTACATTAATATGTAACAGGCAAAAAGTCACCCAGAAGTAAGTAAAATAAAAATCTGCTTATAAACTGGTCACTGATATTGAAGGGAAAAAAAAGGAAAAAAAAAAAATCAAACAAAAAACCCCAACAAAACCAAGAGAGGGGAAAAAAAAAACAGAAAGAAGAACAACCCTCAGTCTTCTTCAGTGCACATAAAACCTCAGCTCTAACCTGAGTAAGTATCTAGCCCAACACTTGCAAAGATTTACATCTGAAAAGAGTCAGCTTTAAAGTAACAGAGGTATCTAGGCTACAGTTCATTTGCAGCTCAGGTAGGGTGAAAAGTCGTAAAAATCATCACAAGAAACACCTCATATTGCCGTCCTGTATACTAGAAGAACTAGAAACAAACAACTTCAATGCGCAGAAATTAGTGGAAATATAACAGAAATCACACCTACTTTAACTAAACGTGAATTACAGACTGACAGTCAAAGAAGCGAAGAAGTTGTATGCGAGAACCACCTGTAAAGCCATGTATGCACACCACCACACTGCCATTACAATCTTCTAGAACTTTGGTTTTCACATACCTGAGTTCCAGGAGGTGTTACTCCTAAAAAATAAAAGTAAAAAAAAATTAAATAAATTTAAGAAGGGTTTGGTTGCTTTATTTTTCTGTATAAAGACTCTAATTAATCATTGTTTGAAAGAAAAAAAAAAAGTAGTAATTTCTGGTAATCAATGAAGATGTCAGTTACTGAAATGCTAAATCACCTTTTACAGAAAAGCACCTTTTTTTTTTAATACTTCATCTAATTTTGGTGAAATATTTTGAAAGGGTAATGAATTGTTTATACTTACCTACTTGCGCATCCATACTGTTCACCCCTGGCTGTAGAAACAACAGACATTTAAGTGCTGAGTGCAATTGTAATTAAATCATCAATAAATACAGCACATATCCAAATAAGCGCTTTCAGCAACAAAATACACTACTGCCTAAAAAATGGATTCCTAGCTTCCCATCGCCCACTTAATTATTACCGCTCCTTAAATAAGTGATTAGGAACATTAAGCTACTTTTCAGAAAGGCAATACATACAATAAACTCCAAATTTCCAATACCCAACTTTATCTCCCAAATGAGTACGTTGGGAGAGAAAAAAGAAAAAAAAAAAAAAAGAGATTCTGAATTTCTGCTGGAGTAGTTTAGTAGGCTTCTGTTATAATTATGTGGCATAAGTCTTTGAATGTATTAGTGTGGCATTCATAAAACTACTTGCAAGGAACCAAAGCTCTTACAGATACCCTTTTTGAAATTCTTTAAAACTAAGGAAAAAGATAAACAGAATTCAAATAGTTTTCCCAATGTCTTTCTTTTCCTGGAGGCAAAAATATAGCTTGCAGGTTTAGCTTTTGCTGTGGTGTATCTTTTAGCTCTCTTCCACAAACTTTATTAGCAAAAAACTCCTCAAGTAAAAAAGCAAAATTTGTTAAAAAGAGAAAAGAAATCATATTAGATCAATTATGTTTGATACCATCCAATAGGACTAAACCAGGTGAATCGTCAACAAACTTTAGGTCTTTAACTGCATTCTGTATGTTAAATACTTCAGCTACTGTGTGCGCACGTAGGGCTATGAGCCTAAGTACTGTCAGTTAAGCAAGGCCATAGTTCAACTTGTGCCTCCAGTAAGTAATCCTTCTAACATGTTTCTTTTCTTGTGCCTATATTTACTTTTCCAAATTCCATTCTAATCTGTTGTGTATTGTAAGAGAACTAATCTGACTGAAATAATCAATTCTAGGAATTATACTGGTTCTAATCAGCTTTCTGGAAGTAAACGCTTCTGTAGATCACAAAACAGATCGTGAACATGCACAAGAGTGGTTCGAAAGACCACCATACTTGGATGAAACAGGCAAGATCAGTACATCCAATACAAACCCAGTTGGCCTCAGTCAGCTCTAGATTACATTTTACACTTGGAGAAGGTATTTTCCCTCAGACAGCCAAAACTGTAACAAGTCAATAATCTCATTAAGTTTACCAATCAAATTGTCAGGGCTGCAAAGAAGGTCACAATTTTTTACCCATCTACAAATTATTTTAAATTAGGAAGTGCTAAAATCACTCTTTTATTTCTAAAACATCTTCCAGGCTTTGGTACACGTGTGATAGCAGAGAGGTACAAGAACGTTGGCATGACAGACAAATGCCCTCTCACACACACACGCAAATGTGTGCGGTCCTGCTATCACCGCCAAGAGGTTTAAAGGCAAAATTAAGAGCTGAAGCCCTCTGCCATGCTGCTTTGCCTCCTAAATACCATATATCCATAGACTTAATTCAATCAAAATTTATTCCTAATCCAGTATTGGAAAACCAAATTATCTACCTTCTTGACAAAATATGTAAAATTCAAAATTAAGACTACTTTTAGCACTGATCGTTCCCTCCCCTTATAAGTCTTTCAGTCATAGCTTTTAAAAGATTTTTCTCTGAAGGTCTGAAATTCTTTCAAAATTTTCCATGAGCATCACTTGTCAGAAATTCATAACAACTTCTGTATGGGAAGTGGAGGAAAATCACTAACATCCTTCCTACTTGGTAGCTTCTAAAATACTGAGTGCATTAGGAAGTAGCTACATGGGCACAAGAACTAACAAAGCACAGCCCCCAAGAATTTACCTAAGGATGACTGACCTTTACTTAGATTGTTATTAAGTATGTTACTAAGGCCGGAACATATGCTCGCAACTCATTAAACAGAGACCAGCAGTGAGAAACAAACTTGTAACCAACAGGAACATTCTCTAGTGTCTGATAAAGCCCAAGCACTAAATTTAAGTTTTTCTCCACTGTTAAGATAATTAACAGCCCTTCTCTGGCATGAATTCTCAGTCATCTAGGACACGTCAAAGTCACATTACATCCTTTTCCTAACAGTCCCTTCTCTACTGATTTTGCAGAAACTTTGTTTCTTTGATCTTTCTCTCATTACTCCAGAGGGCGGATGGACTGCTTAATACATCTAGAAACACATAGCTTATTTGGTAATGAATTAAAGATCTCTTTCAGGAAACCCTTAATGAAAAAAACAAGTGGAGTATTAACCAACTTATGTTGTAAAATAATCAACAAAAGCAGTAGCAATGGTTTTGTGCTTAGCACTATACAAAAATTCAATGTTCTACAAGGATGAAGACTGACTTGGGGATGTTGTATCTGCATGGTAAGAAAATAAAAAATAATGTATTTCTGAATTTAAGTGGACAGAACTGTTTCTAAGTGGATCTCCTACAGTTACTTTAAATCTCCGAAAAAATTATGTTAATAGGGAAGAAATTTAGCCTTTTCCACTTTGGAGAGAGATTTCATCTGTAATATCTGTTAACTCTTCCCTCTCCATTTCCAACCAAATAACTTGTTCATACCTTTACCAATTTCAGCAAATTTTATTCAAGACCTCAAATGCACTGAATTTTAGAAACTTTTATGACAAATCAGGTATTTAGTGGTCAGACAATTAGCCCTCTTTCCAAACAGCCAGAGTTCATACCGGTTCCTGCCAAGCTACAAGCAGGTGAGCGACGAGGGAGGAGGCCAGGCATGCAGGAAGCGTTATGGGAAGCAGATTCCAGACAGAAAAAAGGGAAAGGCACACGCAGACATAAAAAAAGAGTGTAAAGACTGACGAAAATCCACAGGACACCAAGTACCACTAGCTCTACCACTCACAGAAATCTTATTTTTTATAATAATTCAAGAGCTAGATAAAACTTCATTGCAATTAGCAATACCTTTTTCATAATTCAATTCAAGAAAACAAAGGCATATCCATACTAAAATAACGACAGTAACCAACACAAAGACCTCTTAAAAACCAGAAAAGTTAGGTTACACTCACCGGAACTGTAGGCTGCATAGCAGCTTGAGACATGTGAGACATCATCATTCCAGGCATTACTGACTGCATCATTCCAGGCATCTATAATTCAATAGTATTTCAGATATATTTTATCATATTTAAAACAGAAAAATGAGAATACTTTTATTTTTATTCAAAAGCAATTATCTGGTACTAGTTTTTAATCCAAATAAAAACCCCTTTTAAGTACTTGGGAACAAAAAGGAAGATAGGTTTGTAGAATTCTGATTCCCTTCATGACACTCCTACAAAATCGACATCAGGAATAACATGTCTACAGTATTCCAAAGTCTGATATGAAATATAAACAAAGACGACCATTTAAACTACAAAAGAACAACAGCAAATGGTAAGATGTGTGATCTGTTAGCAAGCTATTACTGAAATCCTAAGTTAAAGCAGGAAAAATAAAAGGTTGGGAAAGATTTCTGCAAAATTCCAAGGCCGCACAGAACAAACTAAACAAAAGAAAGGCAAACCCAGAGTTTTAAGATTAATTCTGCTCACGTTTTTTGACAACTTTCAATCTGTCTCCCTTCTTACCTCTGTACATAGGGAGAAACACTTTACAGGGACACTAGAAGAATGAATTTCTGCAAACAACTTCAAGGTGAAGAGAGTTATTAAATTTAAACATAAAGCTCCAGAACAATTCTCAACTCTTTTTTTAAAAGGTCTGAAAAAAACCTTAATATAGACATACAATATTAAACCATGTACAGTGTGAACTTGGTAACGGGGAGATACCACACTACAGAAATGAAAAGTTTGAGTCTAGACTTGTATCCAAGTTTGTTGGGTGGTCTGATGAGACCAAAAAACCACAGAACTGTTGCTCAGACAAGCTAGTTTTTGCTCAAATATTTATGCTTATAGTCCCAAAGGGATGGTTATGCAGAAGTTATGCATCGCTGAAGTGATGCACTGAAAAGATGTTAAAAATGCTACTGAAAGTGTTTAATACCTTGCCTGTTTCCCATTATTTTTTGTTGCTTCTGGCTTTTAAGAACTAACGAGCCACAAAAAAGTGGCAAAAGGAGCAAAATACATAATTTAGGTCATTAGGAACATGAATTTTTGGCCACTCATCCCAAACAGGTCTTGAGAAGTCAACCCCCTTCAACCTTTCAGTTATGCCCCTTTACCTTCGTTGTCCTTGGCAGGCTGGCCAAGTGACCCCATCCCCCTGTATCTTCAGGGAGCATCAGGTTACCACTCTCCTCATCTTGCATCTCGTGCGGAGAGAGGGATATGTGGTAGGGCTACTGCTCCACCCTCAAATCCACAAGGTTTTCTTGGGAGGGTGAGGGAGGAAGGAAAGACTGGAAGGCGGCCCCTCCTATTTCTTGCCATCCTGTAGAAGCAGGAGAAGAAAGCACTCTTGCCCCACTGCTACTTGCGACTAAGGGGGCTCTGAGCGTGTGAAACTTCTTAAAAGCCCTGACTTAGGTCCTGAAGAAACCCTGCGCGCTGCCTGGTTTCTGCATAACCCTAACCCAAAGGAGAAAAAACTGGGAAGGAAAGTGTTTTCCAAAAGACCTTGCTCTGAATGATGCTGACAGGAGGCTGTTGCTACCATCTATGCAAAGTAGTCACCTGTCCTACAGGGGCTCACCTCAGAAAGGAGAAAATAAGCCACAAAACATCCTGTCCTGCAAAACCTCACAAATAAACCTCTGATATCTGCTGGTAGAAAGAGCTTATCGTTCAAGGAAAGTAGCCAACATGGGCTGATATTTCCAGCACAATAGTTCCAGTCTGAGAATATGACCATCCTGTCCCATCCTTAAGGCTGCAGGGTAAGTGAGCCTCTAATCTTCTCTCTGCCATGCCATCTATCTTTAGCTTCTTGCTCTACATCTACCAAAAAAGTCCGAGTTCTCTGTATCGCTCACTAAAATATTAAAGATTGAAATATTCAATATACCAGAGTGAGAACAGTGGAACAGAAGCTACAAAAGAACTGCTAAGTAGAGAAATAAAATAGAATTGCTATTTAAGTTTCTAATGAACACACACAAAAGCTCATGCTATTAGCTATGATGCTAATGGTCAAACCCTCCCCATCTTTTAAAACTGCATTATTTTTACACCAGAAGCTCTCACAGGCTGCAAAAACCATGCTGAAGAGATTCCCACCAAACCTCTATACACCAGTTAAAAAAAGCAACCAACCAACCCAACCAAAACAGAGCACACACCCTATCCAAGGTACCACAAAGGAAGACACTGAGTTACCAGTTTGACCTCATGGGCTATTCTCAAAGGGTTAATCTTTCTCGCCATCCTCTGTCTGCTCTGGCCTACTCTATCCCTCTGGTCTAGTTGATGACATTCAGCTTCTACTTATGTAAACCATCATCACAAGCAGTATCACGAGAACATTTCTTATATCCAGAAAGAGAATTGTTTCTTTTAGAAGTTCAGAATTTAAACAGGAACCACACAGGAAAGAGTCTTTGATTATTGAAAATAAAAGCTTTAACTTTGCAAAAAGCACAGATATGATTCTGGCTACTCTACCTGTCAACCCAGGTTCACACCTGTCAATCTGAACGGCCAAGTTTATTTTTCAATCACATGACACTAGCAACAACTGTATATACACAGAATTATAAACCACTCCCTATGATTCAAGAAGGAATTCTACAAAAATTCAAAATGTAATTATTTTTTCCCTTGCATCTCCCTATAATTTTTATCTGTGTAGATGTAAGAGTCAGCCAAGAATTAAAGAAACATGAAGTTCTCTGCTGTTACTGACTCTGAAAAGAACCACTACTTTACGTTTCTAGTATGGATCTGTAAGATAACTTTACTTCTTCCAAATCTAAAGAGAACACCCAAAAAGCTTTAATAAAAAACAAATTATGGATTCACACCTATGGCTATTTACAATTGAAGTTACACATGAGGTGCATCAATTACCTGTTACAAATGAAAGAGTTTCTGCGTGGATAGAAACCGTGGCATAAAAATACCCCGAATTACTAACCTTACCATTCACAACCTACTGTGTGAGACTTACCTACCTCAGGGATTACCTGACATCATTATGGGAAGAAAGAAAGAAAAAAATAATCTTCTAAAACTGCCTTACCTGCCCCATTGGTGGTCCTCCCATGGGGGGCATCATCTGAGGCATCATACCATGTGGAACTGGCGGCATATTTGGCGGTCTCTGACCCATAGGGTGCATTCCCATGGGCGGATAATGTGGCATGCCTGGGTGTCCCATCTGAAAGACAGCAACAAACGAGAAAAGTCAGCATGAAGTCAGAAAAACATACTGAATTTAGGAATGCAACTGTTTCTGCATGCTCTTCCATACAATTATGAATAACACAAGTAACTCTGTGGCACAAAAGTCAATCAGAGAAATAAAATATCTTCTGTTCCTGATGTCCAAGTCTGATATAGCTTCTACACTCACTACCATCCCTGCCTCCTCATTTTCCTAAAAACCTGAATCCTGTCACTGTTCTAATACTTGGTATAGTCACACTGCTAGTACAAAAATGGGCCCAGACTTTTTTCCTATTTTTTCTAATTACCACAACATATTAATAGCTTTCTATTCCACTCAGAAGCAACAGCTCTAAAAGTACCTTAAGAGAAAGCCTGGAAAGCATTTTACTTTGAAGAACATGTAACTTAAATATACACATACAGAAATATGTTAGAAAAGTACACTAGTTTACTAATATGGAAAGTATTATAGAATCGTTATGGTTGGAAGAGACCTCAAAGACTACCAAATCCAACCGTATACCCGACGCCACCACGCCCACTAAACCACGTCTCGAAGCGCCACATCTAAATGTTTTTTGAAC